ATAAATATGAAGATATGTGCTAAAAAAGGGTAGCAATAATAAAGATAACCAAGTTCGATTTCAAATCTAAAATACGAGTCAAACATCTGTAGTCTATTAGCATAAATGGGGGACCAACATAAAAACTTTATAAACCAACCGTCAAGATTAAAATACTAGCCAAATAATAGGATAAATAAATAAGGTTGAAACGTAAATAGTGAAAAGTATAGGCATTAGGGATAAATATACCACAGGAAATATCAATGACTAAAATAAAACGAGGTGTAAGTTAAGATGCTTAAATGAAAATACAAAAAATTAAATGCTGGAAATTAAAAGGACTGAAATAAAAATGTAAGAAATTAAAGGGGTAAAAAATAAAATACTAAAATTTAAAGTACTGGAAAAATAAATAAAATAAAATAACAGTAATAAATTGCATAAATTTAAAAATTAGGAGGTTGTTTTTAACCGTTTAACCCGGACCATAAATAATGCGGGTCATACCTCAGGGCGGGTCACCGCAAGGTCGTTGAATATTCGAATGTTAGAAAATTAGCGAGTTAGTTTGTGCAATAAAATAAAATGTTAGTAAGTTAATAAGAACAATAAAGTAAAATTTAAAATGTTAGTATGAACAATAAAATAAAAGTTATAATGTTAGTAAGTTAGAAACGTTAGTGGTTAGCAGAGTTTGGACTATAATAATGTGGATCGTACTCGGATCAGGTCACCACAAGGTCGAATAATAAATCAAACAAATTAATAAAAATAATAAAAAAACAGTTAGGAGTTAGTAGAGTCTAAACCATAATAATGTGGATCGTATCGTGAATCGAATCACCACAAGGTCAAATAATAAATCAAAAAAATTAATAAAAATAATAAAAAATAGTTAAGAGTTAATAGAGTCTGAACTATAATAATGTGGATCGTACCCTAGATCAGATCACCACAAGGTCGAATCGAATAAGAGAAATAATAAATAAATAAACAATAGTTAGAATGCACGAAAATAAAAGTCAGTGGTTAATGTGTGATAAAATAAAAGTTAGTAAATAATACGAATATTAAGCATAAATCAGTGACCAAATCAAAATAAAGCAAAATAGGGGGTCAGAATCAAAATAAATAAAACAACAGATGCATAGTGACCCAAATGTAAAAACAAGGCTAAAGATGGAGGATCCGAGTGTCATTTTATCCTAAAACAGGTGACCAAAACACAAAAATGGTACTAAGTGAGAGGGCTTAGCCATGATTTACCCTTTTTCTTAAAACATAAACTATTTTCCCCATTTCACATCTTCCAGCCGAAGCTTACCAAACTTCCCAAAACTCCTCACCACCGGCCACACACAAGCCCTCACACGCCGATGACCCCGAAATGACCAAAATAAGCCCGACCGAAGGCTTAAACGACCAAAACTTCCCCCCCCCCGTTTAAACTCTCTCTCGTTCTTTCCCAACGCTGAGAGGTTTAAAACGAGCCTCAACGCCGACCACCACGTTTCTGCCGCTCAACAGCGAACACCCGAACTCCGATCGACACCCAAAACGATCGCCTGAACCGACCGAGGAAAATCCAACGAAGGTCTAAGTGACCAAGATTTTCTCCCTCTCTTTGCTCTCGACCAAAGCCCCCCCAAGGACCCTACGAGCTTACCACCGGCCACCACTAGTAGGTGCTTCCTGGTGGAAAGATTACCACTCTCACACTCCGGCCACCGCTCAATGGTGGCCACCCCTATGCATCTATACTAGCCCAAAAAATGAAAGAAAATAAGAAAGAAATAAGAAAGAGAAAATTGAGAAGGAAAAGCTTGGAAAAGTTACCATCTTTTATTTTTTTTTTTCTAGATTTTTCGGGGAAGGGGGCTTTCTTTACAAGCAAAGTTGGATTTTTATACCCCTTAAAATTAAAAATGATAAAAGTACGAGTTTGATCCCTGGACAAAATTAGGGTATTACAAGTAGATTGATTTTCAAGTTCGAGTTGAGTCCCTCGACTTTATATAGTATATATAAACCATATATGAAAAAAATACGAAACAAATATATATGTATTTATTTGGTTATAAAATACCATTTAAATTGGAACAATTAATGACATAATATTGTAAATATTTACTATTAAATTTAAATAAGAATTCAAAAATTTGACTCGACTCGACTCGAATTTTAAAAGCTTGACTCAACTCGAAAAAATTTCAAGTTAACTCTAAGTTATAAAATAAGACTCGTCTATTTGAACAACTTGAAATTTTTTACTCGACTCGATGGAACAATTAGCCTTACAAATCAGCATTTCAATAAGGGACTTGGAAATATTGCATGCAAACAAGTGAAAAGGGCTCATCATCTTCATTCATTAGCCCTTGCGGAGCTGCTATCTGCCTGCCTTCTCTATCTCAGCCTATTTTCTTTTTTTGGACAAATCAAAACCATGGATTGGAATTGGGATGTGATGTATTTATTTTGGTTTATGGGATTTAATATTTTTTTTAAAAAAATCATGCTCTCTTTCTTCTTTATAGCATACCATAGATGAGTGACAATACCTATGCTGCAACTTGATGTTGTGATTAGAAAATGTATCATTCATAAAATGAAATTGAGCACCATCAGATGGCTGACACCACTAATGAAGCAGTAATAAATTTCGCACCAGATACCATAAATCCAATTAAACTATTGGTATATCACCGAAATAATTCAAGTGGTTCGTAATTTGAGATCGCTTAAATAAGGTCTTAGGCTCAAGTCTTTGTGTATGTAGAAAATCTTCGTTAGGATACTCACCCACAAAAACCAAGTGTGCGCGAACCCTTGAAACTAGAAGACGGTAACAAAAAAAAACTATTGATATTAGTATATTTGTCAGGTGGATAACTAATGTAAAAAAATTAAAATTTCAAGGTAGCCACATACCCACCTTAGATAACACATACATCCGCCATTGCGATAATCGTAACACAACCAAAAATAAGATCGCAATCACAATTTAAACACATCTACTAAGTTGTCTTCTATATAGCAATAATGATATTGTCCAAAATCATTATTATATGACCGTAATATCTATAATGATTGTAATAATATTTGTTCTGTATACAATCATAACAAACATAACATAACTAAGAAATACAATTGCAACTGCAATTTAAATATGCCGGTTAAGTTGTCTGCAACATGGCAGTAATTTTATCTTCCAGTTAAATGATATCACATAACCGGTCTAAATTTTAACCGGTCACTTGTTTAATCGGTCACGATGTTTTTAGGCGTCGCACAGTAAGACTTAATGGCTGCCGAATAGGGAAGAGAAACATCCAAGTAGATAACCATAAATTAAGATTACTGTGAATATATTATTTTTTTAATTAATCTATGATAATTATAAGATAGTACATGTTCATAATTTTTCTTAATAACGCACACACCGCAACTATTCGAACCCAGGAAAATGATAAATTTCTCTGTTTCAGTGTTTGTGTTTTAAACACTCACTTCTCACCTTAAAGTATCTCTTCATAATCCTAACCCCATCCACAAAGTTGTTTTGGTTTTTATTCTCTCCTTTCGACTGGTACCTTCACTTTGCTCATTTCCATGGCAATTCCATTGTGTCCGCCATACCAGTTAGGGAAACAAATTCTCAATTGTGGATGTCTTCAATGGAATTGAACTTGAACGGATAATTTGATTAAGGATAGTCTAATATCTTAGATATGCAAGTTGGAGAAACAATGGAAAAGATCCTGAACGTAAATTTCTTCGAGGTAGGTTTTACAACAAATACCAGTTAGCTGCAATTTCACGTGGAGACAAGGTCTCATTAATGAAAGGATGTCTTTCTTTTAGGGCGAGGCAACAATCTACACAAAAGATTGCTGTTTTGTCAAAAACTATGACATCCCCTTATCATGCTTCCCCTCTGAACTTGTTACCCTATCGAAGTTGTTAAACCCTACAGAAAAAGAACCCACATTTTAAAGCTAATTTCCCATGAAAAATAAGAGATTAAATATATTCAACTGAACAAGACATAGAGAGTTGCAGTATCTTCATCTGACTACTGATCCTTCTTTTACAGGCTTAAGGTATATCCAAGGATTCACCATGCTAAAGCAATCAGCTAGTATAAACCAAAGGTATAAAGGTTTCAAAGTAAAGCATGTTGTTCAAACATGTGTCTTGCTTGCTCTCTGCATCTGGTTGTTGAACCAAGTTAAGAACAGTTATGATAACAAAGGAAGTGGGATTTTCCAAACGGCAACAAGCGAGAACAGCCATGTAGCCATAAAACTCGGGAGAAAAAACCGGTTTTTAATCCGGTAAAAAAACCGGTCGTTCAATTTTTTCCCAAACCGGTTATACTATCCGGTTTTTAAATATCCGATCCGGTTTAAAAAAAACCGGTTTTTCCAAAATCCGGTTTCGGATATTTTTTACCCAAAATCGGATATTCAGATTTTTTGTGCACCTCTAGGGAAGGGTCATCTGCCGAGATTAATGAACAGATTAATGAAGGTCGGGAAGTTGAAGTGGAAGAAAACAAAGCTGAGGAAAGCGAATACGATGAAAGAGGCGGTGGGCATGATGAGATCGACGGACATAATCAAGAGAAAGCAGAAAGGGAAGAAAACGAGGAAATTGAGGGTTTCTTTGATGAAGAAGATCGATAGATAAATGATGCGATGAGCAGCACAGGGTTGATGAAGATGATGAGCAAAAAGGTGTTACTAAGAAACTTGGCATACAATCTTAGCATTATCCTTTAACAGCAAGTGAGAAAGTAGGTATCACTGAGAATTGGGTCTCTTGATTCTCTATAACATTCTATCAATCTGCTTAGTTTTAACATTACTGTACAAAGAGTTTGGGCACTGATCCGTCACTGTATAAGAAATATGTCAAAGGCATTGATTAGGAAGAAACCATATTTGGAGCTGTCTTGCATCAACAAGATTATATAACTTGTAAAAGTATCAGTTCAATGTATTCTTCCTTTATGGTTTAAAGAGTTTTAACTATTCCATTATCTTTAAATGCATACACAAGTGCTAGTATTTCACTATTTCTCATGTACTATGCATACACATAAATACTTAAAGCTGTCAAAAGTTTGAACCATAATCCATAATCACTTAAATTAAGAACCCAAAGCCCTAGCAACAGAAAACATCATGGTAATTTTATATTAGCACCCCCAAGCATAAGCTCCTAGGACCTATGACTTGGTTCCAATCTAACTACAGATTCCAAAATACCATGATCTAAGTCTTTTTACTCAAATTCCTTTATGAGGTTAGTTTTAAACAGCCTTTTATCAGTTGGAACGGATTGAGAACAAAATCAATGTCAATATGTCCCTGTCCCTCTCAACATTGTACTAAAGTGAAAACAAATATAAGTTCAATTTCAGGTATGCTTGACATGCCTTTGTTGATGAGCATTCCACTGTAAAAGCATCCATATAACTGAAGTCCCTGATTTTCAGGAAAAAAATTAGAATAAATAGTTCTAGAAAAAATGTCAACTTTGGCATAGTTATGTGGTAGTCAAAATTCAATGGAACTATAAAAAAATTGTAATGGAAAATGATAAGCAAAAACCTTTAAATCAAATCATGGTGATAGGTGAACAAAAGACTTCTAAAATGAAAAATAATTATCTTTAGAGCGAACTGAGATTTCAGCAAAAGATGTTGATGCCATTGTTTTGAATAGATCATAACATCCTAAAGAAGGGCCAAGAAGTATAAAATATGAGATCTCAGGCTTTGCCGAACAGAGAGTTCACTGTTTTTAGTTTGTTTTACCAAGGAAAATTTTGCAGCAACTTAAATAAAAAACTTTTGATGTAAAAGAAGGGTCATCTAAAAAACTTGAAACAATGGCATGCACACTCTCACGAGTCTCATGAACACCATACCTGCAAATATGCCGACAGTTGACAAATTTGATAGGACCATTGTGTGATAGAAGAGGTATTCAGTCAAAAAGTGGCCAAAGGCATAGACGAATGACAAAAATGTCACCAAGTATAGTGGCTTATTTTCTAAGTTGAATGCACATACGAAACAGAGGGTACAAGTCAAAAGCGTCCAAACTCCAAACGTCCTCCCATGAACTTCAGTCACTGCATATCATTAGAAACAAAAAGGAGAACCAATTATCAACATCTGGAATGACTTATTATTCCTCAGCAACAAAGTAATTGAACCCTGAGGTAGAAACCTTATCAGAATTATTAGCAAAAGGCTGTTCTATTGGCAGAAAGATTGCTGCTTTAACTTGTACATTGGGGTACAGAAGGAACACTCAACAGAAGAAAGAGTTAACAATTTTATTAACAGGAACAAAAAATGTAAAAGAAAACATATCCATGCCATAGTTGACAAATATTGATACTAAGGGTGCTTTTGGTTCATGGAATGTAAGATTACCAGTGAGAATAGGATTACCGGCGGGAATAAGATTACCGGCGGGAATAAGATTACTGGGAATGTTGTATTTTGTGTTTGGTTCGTTTAGCAGGAATGTAAGATTACAGTGTTTGGTTAAAGGAATAAAAGATTATTGGAATGTATATTTTACCAAATTATCCTTATTATATATTTGTTTTTTTAACAAGTTGAATTCTACTATAATATTACTATAATTAATTTATATATTTTCTTTAAAAATTTTAAATTTATAAAATTCATATAATTTTTTTTTACAAAATTGAAAAGATAAATATGTTTAATGAAAGGGTAAAAATTTATTTTAACCCTAAAATTCTAATTATGGGTTTTTTTTTGTAAATCTAAATAGTTTAAGGATAAATTTGTATTTTAACCTTCGTAGAATTTTTATTATTCAACGACAGAAGAAAGATATTTTGAAAAAAAAAATTAAGGGTATATTAATCCAAAACGCCGGTAATCCAACAATACCTAAGGAAATGGGTAATCACATTCCCAGTAATATATCCAAAAATACCACTATTGGGAATAAAAGATTACCGGGGAATAGGATTACTGGCCAACCAAATGGAGGAATGACATTCCATTCGCCCGATAATCCCATATTACCTGAACCAAACACCCCCTAAAGTTCAGATTATCATACATTCCATTCTCTCTACTCCCTAGTCCATATATAGAGACATCCATTTCCAATCTACCTTATTTTGTTTGAAAAAGACTTGATATCATCAACAATATTTAACGCGGGTAAGGAAAAACACATCAAAATATAGCTTTAGTTTTTGTCACAGACACCTTCAGGCTTCAAGAATCCTAAAAAAAATGTAAATGTCAGGTGATCCTTCCTTTTTTTTTCCCTTTCTCTAGAGAATTTTCGTACGATTCAAGAGAGAACATATATGCATGCACCTAAAGACCATGAAAGGACCAGGAAAATTTTGACATCATACTAAGCCTAAAATATTAACTTCTGACATTACAGTCAAAACCCAGATTTCTGCATCTTTGTTGAGCTCTGGAATCAAATGCTATTGCCTCCTAAGACAAGCCCATCCCCCCTTAAAAGCTGAGGTTTAATAGGTTTTCCATGTATCCAAATTTGCATCAAAATTCACTTATCATCACTAAATTTTCATTTTGGAAACCACCAACCTCTGTTGCCAGCATAGTCTTTTTCTTCAACTAAGCAAGAGCTTATACTGTTATACATGCCCTTAGAATACTATACTTGAAGTTACAAGTAACACATCTAAATATTCAGATGTTCCAAATCTGTTTTCTTGTTTAATCCAATTCAGGCATCCAAAATCTTTCTCAGACAATAGCCCCAAAATCAATTGCATGCTTACCAAACCATTGAGGTTGTTATTTTTCAAAGCATCCACCATTGCATGGTAATTATAGATTTGTCCACATGTGCACTGAAATAATGCACTTATCCACCAATACGAATCATTCTTGGTTTTGCAACTTTGACTTAGGAGCAGATATGAATCCTGCTTCCTTCTAATTAACCAAGATAAAATAAAAAAGGCATTGAATTGAATCCTACTTCAAGTAAGATCCATAATCAGCAATGAATTCTTAAGAAATAATATCGAATTCAATGCAAACAAAAAGAGAAATCAGTTCTAAACTAACATAACTGGTTCACTTTAGAAGAGAGAACTAGCAAACCTTAGTTAATAGATCCAGAAAAGCAAAAATAGTCCATTAGTCTAAGATGAATACTACATTAACTAGTAGTAAATTTTAAACAAAATAAGCCACAGAAGAAGTCTTTGTAAATCTCTGTATGTGGAGAGAATAGTCCATCGGTCAATGCACCATTGAATCAACCCAATTCAATTCAATTATCGTTTAATTTTTTAGAAGAAAAATAAATTAGTTCATTCGATGCAACTAGATTTCCAAAAACAGTGTTCCCAAATCAACAAAGCTAACATCTTTTTTTCTACAAGAATCTTCAAAATATCGAAACAAATGTTACAAAGGGAATAAGCAACCGATGAATGGGAGAAAGAAACTCACTGGAGGTGTTGGCGAAAACGGCGAGTCGAAGAGCCCAAATGTCGAAGAAGCCGAACCAAACGGAGGCTAATCGAAGTGAACCCACCAGAATTAACCACCATCCCAACGCCTTCATCTTCTTGGCTTTAGGTTTCACCCACTGTTGTGACTTCAACTGGATCTGCAGATCCCGTTCAGGTTGTACACTTTTGGATACTTACTACTTCCGATCTAATGCCTTTCACTGAACCACTTTGTCTGATTTAACACATCCATTCATTTGATTTTAGTGTAAATTACAGAGAAGATTACTTTTGTAGTTTTGTTTGCCATAATGCCTAAATCTCTAATGTTTATTAAAATAATTATTTTAATCTTTATTTTCTTTATTATTTTGTCTCAATTTTTTATTTTAATGAAAAAAAAGTCCTTAATATTTATCAAATAATTATTTTAACCTTTATTTTTTTTATCTACAATATTTTATCCCTTAACATTTTCATTTTAAAATAAAACTCAATATAAAAAACCACAAAATTATAAAAAAAATTATATGAAACAGTTAAAAAGATTAAAAATAAAAATAAAAAAGAGTTCAATTAATTAAATTAATTTTAAAATTAACTTATTATTAAATTAATTCAAATAAAAATAATAATTTAATTAATTCATTTTGATTTGACTTTTACCACATTAACTAAACTATATTTTACGAACCTATTTCCAAACCCCAATTCGTTTTGGATCGAGTTTTATGGGGTCAGATAAATAATTTGACATTACACAACCCTTTTACATGAAAATAGGCAAATTACATATTTAGTTATTTATCTATTCTCATGATTTTGTTATGGTTTATCAATATTTAATGTTATATTTTTATTACTTGTCATTAAAAAAATAACAATAATGTTTACACGTTCCTGTAAAGTAATATCAGGTCATCACCGAAACAAAATAAAAAAAAAAACTACTACACTCACAACACTAAAAATATAACACAATATATGATTTAAAAAATTAATTAATGATTTAAAAAATTAATTAAATATGCAATTATCCAAAAAAATGCAATTTAACCAATCGAATGCAGAACCTAAAACGATTCATTGTTATGGTGTGGGCCGAGTGAGCCTATTTCACCAAATAGGGTCATTATCCCGGAATAATCCGTTGGATCACGGTTCATCGTATTACAATAGAAACCTATTCCCTAGTTTCAAAGAAAGGGTCATGATCCCGGAATAACCCGTTGGAACACGGTTCATCAAGTATTACAATAGAAACCTACTCCCAAGTTTCAAAGAAGCTATTCCATCCCTGTTATATCCAATCCTAATCGTCCTTGAAGCTATCACTGAATTCTTTTTCCTTTTTGGGTGCTGGAGATTCATACTAATTTACATGTAATATAAGTTTTAAGAAAATGGTAACTGTGAGGGGAGTAATATTTATTTAAAAAAAATGTCGTATTCCTTTTTATGCGATTTGATTTTTCCTTCAGGTGTTCAACGGCAGCTTAACTGCAAGATATTTCAAGGTGTCAAAATTTTGGAATTATGAGATGTTATTACCCATTAGTTAACTAATGGGAAAAAGAAACAGACCTATGGCTTTTTCCCATTAAGTTTGTTTTCCCTTGTTTCCTCTTGTTAATGCCTTTCTGAACCTAAATTGACGAACTGATGAGTTTGTGATATACTAGGCAAGGATGATTTTATAACTTTGTTCATGTTTTCTTTGTAAGTTTCAATTTTATTTTATGGGATTCTTATTTGCATTGGATTGAAACAGTTACTTGAATTAACCCTTCAGCCATGTCTCCTCCATTGACACCTACCAAGAGCCCACATGATAAGAGCCCTTCAGAGCCAAATGGGAAAAGAAAGTTGCAAAAGTCAGGAAAACTTAAAGTTTCAGCCGGTGGTATAGTTTTTCGTGTACTATGCTCTGAAGCTAAATCTGTTAGGGTCGTCGTGAAGGTGGCAGCTTAGTATCACAAATTCTTCATGAAATTGGTGCAAATATCAAAATTGAGGAGGCAGTCCCTGGTTGTGATGAGATAGTAATTGCCATCTCTGGTTCTGAATTTTTTGATAAAGAGACTGGAGTCGGCTGCAGGGTAAGGAGGATGGCGACAAGGCTAATGCAACCAACCAGAATGATGAAGAAGAAAAATGATGAAAACAACGATAACTGTAGACACCCGTTTTTGTCCGGGTCGTAAAAATTATTATTATTATTATTATTATTAACTTTTTTACATTTTATAGGGGCCAACCCGAGGCCCAACCAACAGTCCACTCAGAGAAGTTTCAATTACAACTGATCAAGGCTTACCAAGATCCGACCCGGATCCAGACCCGACCCAGATCCAGACCGACCCGTGACCATCCCACCAACTGCCATACCCACGTGAAGCAGTAGCACACCATCAACCGATCAGACCACCATGCCCTGTCATCCCATTTTACACGCCACCTCCATGCCCTGTCAACAGGCATCCAACAACCACAACAACAACATCAGCCATTTTTCCCTTTATTTGTGAGATATGTAACAGGAGAAAAAAATGAGGGGGCTTTCGAAAAGTAGGGAAAACCAGGGGCTTTTTTTTCCAAGAACCACGAGAGGGGCTCTCGGGTTTTCCAAACACAATGTAAAATAATTATATTAGCAATCAAATAACAGAAATCTTGAAGCAATTTTTTCTTTCTTTATATTCGATATATATACATTCATACATCTTTGCATTCAAAATAATATATTAAAAAAATGTGAGTTCTTACCTATTCAGTCGGAGTTTCACTGGCATTCGGGGCCTCATTTCCAAGATCCGAACGGTGAAGATGTAGAAACGATGATGGAGAATAAAATACTTGAAAAGCGGGACAATCGGTCGGCGGACGACGATATTACGATGAACGGTGTCGATTCTTGTGAAACGGAGGCCAGATCAGAGATGATGAGACAAAGACAGACCTCCCGATGTAATTTAGTGGCCATCAACCACCAACAGCGATAGTGGCAACGACAAGGTGACGCGGCGGAGGAAGACGGCGAACGATACGACGGCGACGGCCGACGAAGGTAACCCACCAGCCACCCACTAATTTTCTAAAACCTATTTTAAATGAAAAAAATGGAAAAAGAAAAAAAGAAGAAGAAAATATTGTTATTTATAGAAAACTTTAGGGGAAAATTGTACTTAAGTCCCCTAAGTTAAGTGTGTTTTGCAAAATGGTCACCTACAGGGACTGTTTTTATAGTTTACCCATTTTTTATGCATGTTAGATAATTTTGGTTTAATTTCTGTTTAGTCCCTTATATCTTTTCGTGTGTTAAATTTTAGTTCCTAAGTCCCTACGTTTTTTATTTATTTTATTTTTAGCACTTTAGTTTTATTAATTTCAATTTAGTCAGTGATATTTCATATTTTCTGTTCTATTTATTTATGATTTTGGCACTTTATTTTATGTTATTTTATTTTAGTCACTATTTATTTATGAGTTGGTATTGCTTTTCTTATTTGTTGCATTTTGGTCCTTGTATTTTAATATATGTGTATGTTTCATATTCTTATGTATTTTATGTGTATGCACCATATGTATGTATTTATTTAAATGTCTTTATATTTAATAGTAATTTACAACATTTACCTGTACATTTTAAAGTTTCTTGTTTTGAGCTTATTACTTTATATCTTTCGATTTTGGTCGTAGTTAGCACATTATTGTATTTGTTAATATTTATGATTCATGCTTCAATTTTTGGTTGACTTATATTTTGGTCCTTTGTTAGTTGTAGATATTTACTTATCTTCTTCAAATTGAACATGTTTTTTCCTATCAATTTAGTCCTAAGATAAATTTTTATTTGATGTTCGATTGCGCATTTATATTTGTATTCGATTTTAATTCATGTTTGACAATTTTATTTCTTGTAATTTTGAATTGCTATTTTTGCATATGTTTATTTAATATATTTTTCCCTTATTCATCTGCACATTGGTATTATTTCTTCGACCTTATTTTTTTTATTTCATTTTGTTTTCTAAAATGTAAACGGAAAATTTTATTATGAGGGAAATCTACGAAGACATCTAAAGACTACAAGGGAGTGTGTCTTTTTGAGGATTTTTCGCATAAATGTTTATTTTGTATTCGATAATTTTCTTTGTTCCACGTTTATTTATTTTGATTATTTTTCACCTCTTTTCACTTTTATTTTGTTTTATTTTATTTTATTTTATCTTTTCGAAAATTGCGAAATAACGTCTTTTGTGAGGGGAATCTATGGGAAAGTCTCCTAACTGCAAAGGAAGTGCATTCTTGAAGATTGTTCACCCAAAAGGGCATTCATTATCCGAAAATTGAAACTTTTTGATGAAAGTCAAATAAATAAAAGGATCGTAATTTAAATATATTTTCGAGTTTGTAATTCCCAATATTTAAACAACACATAATCATATAGGTATCAAAATTTGGGCGTTGTGGGGGTGCTCACCCTTCCCCACACGTAAGTGACTCCCGAACTCTTAAAAATGAATCTATGGTAAAACGCATACCATTTTTTATCGTTTAAGGTTTCCAACCTACCTAACTTAAAGGTTGGTGGCGACTCCAAAATCAAATTGCTTTCAAAAGTGTATTTCATGTCTTCCCCGAATCTAGCTTTTTTCAAGTCTAACGGATCCCCGAGAGAAACGTTATGACAGCTTGGCGACTCCACTAGGGACTTAGAGAGTCAGGCCATAAACGATTATACATTGATTTTGTTCTTAGGAATTACACACTTAAATTGTATTTAATTTACGATCCTTTTGTTTATTTTGAGTTTCGAAATATCATGCATTATTCTACTTTTAACTAATCAATTTTTTATTTCAATGGTCTTCAGATTTGAACAGATTTTTTGGAACTATTGAAAGTGTTGTCTTTTGTTGTGTTTTCAAAAGTTTGTGAGTTTCTCCTCACACACAAACGTGCATTTACATACCATAAGCTCACTTACGAGCTTTGTCCCTTTAAGTTAAGGTGAAAGCTTAGCCTATGTGAGATAATTTTTTTTCGCATGGGTTTTAGCAAGTAACCTTTGGGGTTCATATACCTTATGTCTACGTGAGATAAATTGTTTCTCCGTATGGACACAAGGGAATGTATCCTCTCGAATTGAACTTGATCCGCATGAGCCTGTAATGGGCCAGTGTTGAGGGTTTGGTAGCCTAAGGAGGCACCAACATGGACAATTCAAGTACCTTTTTCTTAGAACCCA